CAGGCAAAGTCACATTGAATGTATTATTGTTGAATGAGTTTAAGTGTGTGTATTTGTATCATAATTTTTCTTATTTATTTTTTTATATTTGGGTTGTAACTTGTGATAGTCATTGCTAACATTTTTCTTAGCTTTGTTTGACCTTGCATGACACGGAAGAGTAAGCAATCACCGCTTATTCCTGTTGATCCAGAGCTTAATAGGACTCTGAGAAACGTGAGGCTTTTGCAAGGCACACCTGAGTTCTCTATTATATATTCGGATTGCGATCTGGAAGAAATCTTTGCAACCAACGACGAAGATAACATGGGTGATAACGATCCTCCTCCACCATTGATATGAGATTATGACCACCCCAATGCCTTCACACTTCGAAGTGACATACGTCTCCCTACTACGAATGCAAATAATTTTGAGCTTTCACCTTAACTCATTTGTATGATACAAAGTGATCAATTTGGTGGAAGTTCTCATGAGTGTCCTTTTTCTCATTTAGACAACTTCCTCGAAGTGTGCATAACCATCAAGCAAAAAAAAATTACGATGAGTTCATCCGTATGCACATGTTTTAATTCTCCCTCCGTGACAAACCCAAGCATTGGTTGAGAACGGTAGAAGAGGGATCATTAACCACATGGGATCAAGTCACTAGAGCTTTCCTTGAAAATTATTGTCCACCCAAAAAGACCACCAAACTAAGAAGAAAAAGCACAAATTTCAACCAAGAAATTGATGAAATGTTAAGTGAAGCTTGGGAGTGTTTCTAAGGACTACACCATGGTTTCACATCATGGATTATTGTTCAAAGCTTTTATGATGGTCTTACTCCTACTTTAAGGGCCAACCTTGATAACAGGGCCGGTGATAGCCTTAAAAACCTATCGGTGGATGATGCATACAAAATGATTGAAGAAGTGGCAAAGCACTACGCATACGGAGGTGATAGAAGGCAACCTCAAGCAAAGAAGGGCAGAATCCATGATCTTAGTGCAATAGACCTTATTGCATCAAAGTTTGACATGCTAGCTCACAAGCTAGATCAAGCCACCCTTACATCTCCAAGCTATTCTTCATAACAAGTCATGTCTTGTGAGACTTATGGAGGAAATGATCACTTGTCCTCCTATTGCAACTCAACTAACCAAGAGCAAGCAGCGGCTATTGAGCAAAGAAATGATCAATACTCTCAACCCTACAATCAAGGTTGGAAATCCCAACAAAACACAGGTTGGAAGCAACAAAACCAATGCCCCCCTCAAAATCAATACAACCAACCCCATCCTCAAAACCAACAAGCTCCTTACCGTCACCCTAATCAAAGGGACCAAAACCAACAAAGGCAACAATATAACCAACCCGTTCCTCCACCTCCATAAAAATCTAGCCTTGAAGCCGCAGTTGAGACCTTCATTACACAACAAGGAAGAAGCAATGCGTATATGCAAGCAAACATCCAACAACTTCAAGCACACAACAAGATAATTGAGAATCAATTGGATCAAATTGCACAACAAGTTGGAAGTTCATCCTCCAATCCTAGTGGTCACTTCCCAAGCTCAACGGTTGTGAACCCAAAGGAGCAAGCTAAGGCCATTACTTTGAGATCGGGAAGAGGTTATGAAGGGTCGATTATGAGTGAAGAGGAGCCACAAAAGAGAGATGAGGGAGTTGTGGTGAGAAATGAGAATGAGTTTGAAAATGAGATAGTTGATGTTGAGAGAAAGGAGCCATAAAAGAAAAATGAGGGAGATGAGGAAAAAGTAGAAAATCCCCCCATGAAAGTATACAAGCCTCCCATTCCATTCCCTCATAGGATTTTTGAAAAGAAGTTAAATGAAAAGTTTTCAAATTTTGTTGAAGTCATGAAAGGACTTCAAGTGAATATCCCCTTTCTTCATGCTATGTCATAAATGCCTACATATGCAAAATGTTTGAAGGATCTTCTATCCAACAAGAGTAAGTTTGAGGAGAGTGCAACTATCTCCCTTCCCAAGGAGGTGAGCGCTATCATTCAAAACAAGCTTCCTCAAATGCTTGGTGACCCCGGTAGCTATGCAATACCGGTGAAGATTGGAGACTTGGAAGCTATGGATGCTTTATGTGATCTTGGGGAAAGTGTGAGCTTGATGCCCTATTCTATAGAAAATAGTTTGAAAGTTGGAGACTTAAAGCCAACAAGAATGTCCCTACAATTGGCTGACCGCACGGTTAGGCTACCTTTGGGAATTCTTGAAGATGTACCGGTTCAAGTTGGGAGAACATTTGTGCCTTGTGACTTCGTGGTGATGGAAATGGAGGAAGACACAAGAGTACCCCTCATCTTGGGAAGACCATTTTTGAACACGGCGGGTGTTAATATTGATATGAAGGAAGGAAGGTTAACATTGAATGTGGGAGATGAAAAGATCTCATTCTCATTCTCTTAAACATTGAAAAAGCCATCGTTCGATGAAGTTCATAGAGTTGATAATTTGGAAAGGAACTTAGAGGAGTTCCAAGATAATTTGATTAAAGGAGATCCTTTACAAGCTATCCTAACGGGAGGCTTAGTTGAGGAAGGTGAAGAAACAAGGGGGTATGATCTTTTGCTCAACCAACCTTTAGTCCACAATGAAATGAAAGCGGAAGTGCTCAATGTGGAGGTAAAAGAGGAGAGGACTACGCCTCCTCATAAGGTCGAACTTAAACCCCTTTCCCCTCTTCTTAAATATGCTTTCCTTGATGATAGTGAGTCTTATCCCGTTATTGTCAATGCCAAGCTCGTTGATGTCTCTCTTGATAAACTCCTAGTTGTTCTAAGGGAGTATAGAGATGTCATTGGATACAAAATTGATGACAGTAAGGGGATAAGTCCCACAATTTGCATGCATAAGATAATAATTGATGATGATCATACTTATTCAATTGAGCACCAAAGAAGGCTCAATCCAAACATGAAATATGTTTTGAAAAAGGAAGTTTTAAAACTTCTTGAAGCGGGCATACTCTACCCTATCTCCGATTATAAGTGGGTTAGTCCGGTTCAAGTTGTGCCTAAAAAAAGGAGGCATGACCATCGTTAATAATGATAAGGGTGAGACCATTTCTACAAGGTCGGTCACCGGGTGGAGGATGTGCATTGATTATAGAAAATTGAATAAATCCGCTTGGAAAGACCACTTTCCTCTCCCCTTTATTGATCAAATATTAGAATGACTAGCATCACATAGTCATTATAAATTCTTTGATGGATATTCGGGATTCTTCAAAATCCCAATCCAACTCGAGGACCAAAAAAAGACTACATTTCATGTCCTTTTGGCACCTTTGCTTATCGAAGGATGCCATTTGGACTTTGTAATGCACCTTCCACATTTCAAAGGTGTATGATGTCTATTTTTTCCGACATGCTTGAATCACCAATCGAAGTATTCATGGATGAATTTTTTGTTTTTGGTTCATCTTTTGACATTTGCCTTTGAAATTTGATTAAAGTGTTGAAAAGATGTCAAGAGGTGAACTTAGTCTTGAATTGAGAAAAATTTCATTTCATGGTAGAAGAGGGAATTGTTCTTGGTCATGTAATTTCTATTAGGGACATTGAAGTAGATCGTGCCAAAATTGAGGTCATTGAGCGCCTCCTACCCCCTACAAATGTGAAGGGGATAAGGAGCTTTCTTGGACACGTGAATTTTTACCACCAGTCCATAGAGGATTTTTGAAAAATCGCAAAGCCGCTCACTCAATTGTTGCTAAAGGATGCCCCTTTTGTGTTTACTAATGATTGTTTGCTAGCATTTGATAGGTTGAAGGAGGCATTGATTTCGGCTCCTATAATTTAAACCCCTAATTGGGAGCTTCCTTTTGAGCTCATGTGTGATGCTTCGGATTTTTCCATTGGGTCCGTTCTTGGACAAAGGAAGGATAAGAAGGTCCATGCTATCTACTACACTAGCAAAACATTGGATTATGCACAAAGGAATTACACAACCACGGAAAAGGAGTTTATTGTTCATGCAATTGAGAAGTTTAGGTACTATTTGTTGGGGTCTAAAGTCATAGTCTTCACCGACAATTCGGCCTTGAAGTACCTCTTGTCCAAGAAGGAACCAAAGCCATGATTGATACGGTGGGTCTTGCTTTTACAAGACTATGCTATTGAGATTAGAGAAAAGAAGGGTGCCGAAAATGTTGTGGCCGATCATCTTTCACGGCTATCTATCTTTGTAGTTGATCTTGATAACTTGCCAATTGACGATTCATTTCCGGATGACAAACTGTTTTCTATTCTACAAACATCGGCACCATGGTTTGCAGACATTGCAAACTATCTATCTTGCTCTATTCTTCCTCCCGACCTCTCCTATCAACAAAAGAAGAAGTTTCTACATGATGTTCGCTAATATTTTTGGGACGACCCCTTGCTCTTCAAACAAGGTGTTGATGGCCTTTTTAGAAGGTGTGTCCCGGATGATGAGATTGAAGATGTTATCACAATCTGTCACTCCTCACCTTGTGGAGGGCATATGAGTGCTAACAAAACTTTGTCTAAAATCTTACAATGTGATTTTTATTAGCCCACAATGTTCAATTACGTGTGGGGTGTAGTGAAATCTTGTGACCGGTGTCGAAGAACCGGTAATATTTCAAGAAGAAGTGAGATGCCTTTGAACAACATTCTTGAGCTAGAGATTTTTGACGTATGCGTCATTGATTTTATGGGGCCTTTCCCGAACTCTTTTGGGAATAATTTCATTCTTGTTGTCGTTGATTACGTGTCAAAGTAGGTAGAAGCGGTTGCATCTCCTACTAATGATGCTAAAGTGGTGGTCAAGCTCTTCCAAAGAGTAATTTTCCCAAGGTTCGGGGTACCGCGTGCCATTTTTAGTGATGGAGGTTCACATTTTGTAAAGCGGTCCTTTCAAGCTCTCCTTGAGAAATATGGTATGAGGCACAGGGTGTCATTGTCTTACCACCCATAAACAAGTGGTCAAGTCGAAATTTCAAATCCGGAGATAAGAATGATTCTTGAGAAAACAGTGGATAAGTCTAGGAAAGATTGGTCTACAAAGCTTAATGATGCTCTATGGGCCTACCGCACCGCATTCAAAACTCCCATTGGCACCACACCATACAAGCTTGTTTATGGGAAATCATGCCATTTGCCAGTAGAACTTGAGCATCGTGCTCATTGGGCCATCAAAACATTGAATTTCAACCTTCAAAATGCCGGTGCAAATAGGTTGCTTGACCTCCATGCCTTGGAAGAATTAAGGCTGGATGCATATGAGAGTACACAGATTTACAAGGAAAACACCAAGGTTTGGCATGACAAGCATATTAGTAAAAGGGAGTTTAAAAAAGGTGACAAGGTCCTACTATTTAATTCCCGGTTGAAGTTGTCTCCGGGTAAGCTCAAGTCAAGATGGAGTGGACCTTTTACTATAAAGGTGTTTCCATATGGTGCAATTGAAATTTCGAAGCGAAGGTTGTTCACCTTGATGAGTTTGATGCTCCTTCCTCTCATTGATCACGCAATGTTGTCAAGCTAGTGACGTGAAAAGAGCGCTTCCGGGAGGCAACACGAGTTTCTCAACCCCCCTCTCTCAAAAACTATTATTTCATTCTTTTCCATAATTTCTATTATTATTACTAACTTTTCTGTTAATATCTTTTGTAGGTATTGATGAAAAGAGTAGTAAGAAAAATATTCATGGATGTGAAGTAGTAGGCTTAGTAATAATCATAATAATAATGGTGATAATAATAATTTTATTATTATTATTATTATTATTATTATTATTATTATTATTATTATTATTATTATTATTATTATTATTATTATTATTATTATTATTATTATTATTATTATTATAATTATTATTATTATTATTATTATTATTATTATTATTATTATTATTATTATTATTATTATTATTATTATTATTATTATTATTATTATTATTATTATTATTATTATTATTATTATTATTTAAAAAAAAGGGAAGACGTGCAGCATCAGGTCTGCACGGACATGCAGAACATCGCACGTTCGTGCAAAAGCAATCACAACGAATCAATAACTTTAGTGTCAAAATTTCCAGATTGGCACGGACGTGCCAAAATTAGCACGTCCGTGCAAATTGGCTAAGCACGTCCGTGCCAAACAAAATAGAAACATCCTCAAGTTACTGTCCGAGGCTGCACGTCCGTGCCAAATGTTGCACGTCCGTGCAGCCCCAATTTCAACAGTTAGCAGCACGGTTTTATTGTAAAAAAAAAAATTCTCACTTCTCATGTTTTTAATCTCACGGTTTTTCCATCTCTCTTTCTCTAAAACTCCTTCATCCTCCTTCATAAACTCACTCAAATTCACTCAAACCTTAAAAAACCCACAAAATATCAACAATTTTCTCCAAAATCTTTACTCCATTTCAACAAAATCATAATCTACTACTCAATTCTCCTTTAAACCCAAAAAATACCTAAATTTACAAAACCCTAACCTTTAAAATCAATTTGGGGGTTTTCTTGTGAGCTTAAAATTGAAGAAATTGGGTGTTGGAGAATGGTCAAGCAAAGCTTCAAGAAGGTTAGAAAGGTTCATATGTGGGTTTTACACCCACGATAAAGCTCAGTATAATTGTTCCTCCCTTTTACTAATTTTGTGTTTAAATTCTTGTATTTTTGTGCATGAAATTGCGAATGTTTATTTGAATTGGTTGTGAGTGATTGTTAGTTGATAATTGCAAAGTTTTAGTGAATTTTAAAGTGTTTTGTGAATGTTGTGAGTTTTGGATTCTTGTAAGTGAGATTGAGGAATTAATTTTTGTTAATGAAAATAAGCATGCTTGGTTGATTAAGTTGTTGTGTTGGATTGTTTGAGGTTAATGCAAGAAATTGGTGTCGAATTATTGCAAATGCATTAGTGAAGTAGACTTATAGTTGCTTGGTGATTTGCTTGTCTTGTTTTAGGGTGGTGACTTAGAGCTTGACTTGGTGATTGTGTTGTGCTTATTGGTGATTGGTTAAGCCTTGAGTTGTTGTCTTAGTGGACCTAGTACCTCTTGTGTGTTTGGTGTGTTGATTGCTTTGTTGTGGTGTGTTTAATTGCTTTGCATAAAGACCAACCATGAGCCGAAGAAAACGACCTAGAAACACATATGCTAGGTACCACAACCCCTCTCCTCCTCCTCCCGTTAATCCACCACAAGTGGACACCATGGGAATTGAGTTCAATGACCCGACCTTTTTGAACAACTATATTAGAATAAGTAGGAGGAGAGTTCGACCAACCAAGTTCTATGACGAGAGTGTTGCTGAGGCCTTGGGGGTAAGGGACGATGTTAGAATGCATTTTAAAGGATGGGGACTAGGGAATTGGCTAGACTTAAGCGCCCCAACCTACAAGAGGTTGACACTTGAATTCCTTTCCACCCTTCAAGTGCAACGAGACAACAATAGAGCCCCCCGCCGCCTTACCTTCCAACTCATGAACACCTAACACAACATGAACATCAGGAGGGTAAATCAAGCTTTTGGGTGGCCAACCAACGGTACTATAGGACCAAAGGATAGGCCCCCCGTAACTATTGTGCGGGTGAATTTTGGAGGAAAATCACCGCCCTTTTCGACTACAACCCTAGGACCAATAAGGCCACGACCATCATCCACCCTGCCTTTAGGGTGTCACAGTGCACCATAGCGAACACGGCGTTCGCTAGAGTTTATAGTTCGAGAGTAGTGTCACTAGGGAGCTTCACTTCCTGTGGCCTTTGAGTGAGGGTAGCACGGTCGTAGACGTAGGGTCTTGGTTAGTCGACCACCTAGAGGATGTTGCCACTAGGTCCGTTAACATCACCATAGGTGGCATGATCACCATTATTGTTTCCGCTCTTAACCTTGATTTTGCTGATGAGGAGGTTTGCCCAGGGCCGATGCAGCTAGACATGCAATCGCTAAGGACCATGAGATGGATTGTGGACGCAAAAGGACCACATCCTTACTTGTGGCAAGTGAGTTGCCGCCCCTATGCCTTCCTTCCCGACCTAGAGAAGGCCTTTTATCTATGATGAGAGCAATTGGGTCTTTGAGAGGGACCATCCTTGGGTTCCCGGTGAAGAGGAGGAATAGCATGAGCAACCTCAAAAACAAGAGGTAGAGCACCAGCAAGACCAAGAGCAACAACAACAACAATTCCACCAACAACAATTCTTTCAACAAAAACAACATGAGGAAGAACAAGGGTACCAACAAGGGTACCAAGGTCAAGGTGTGGGTGAGGACAACCCACACCTCTCTTTCGAGCAGCAGATATAACTCATGAATGCAGGTTTCACCCGAATGACCACCGAGTTTGAGACTATGAGAAAGTCTCACGAAGACATGAGGTCCTCCTACAACAACATGAGGACAAGCTTTGAGGGTCTTCGATCGGAATTAGGTGAATTACGAAATGTCTACCGGCATTGGTACCCTGGGGGCTCAAGCTCCAAAGGAGGCCCAAGCCAATGAGTTAGTTTTCTACTCCCCTTTCTTGTGCTTTTATTGTTTTAACATTGGGGACAATGTTAATGATAGCTTGGGGGGAGAGTCATTGGCTCATATGTTTGTGCTTATTTGTGTGTTGATAGTTTTGAACTTGCATGTTGATTGTTTTTTTCCCCTTAAATCCAAATTCCTTGAATCCAAATTCGCTCCCTTTGAAAGCCAACACCCTAAATCCAAATCTCTTAATTTGAGAATGCTTCACCTCCCTCTCTTTATTTAGATGTCTAGTTATGCTTAGTTTAGTTTAGCTCAACTTTGTAATTATTCAATATCTAGTAACAAAAAAAGGGTTTTTCTAAGCTATACCCCTAAGGTAGTCGAGTTTCTAAGGTGTACCCATGATTTTTCAAATTTCTAAGTTGTGCCCCTCAACTCACTACCATTAATGAATGGTACCCTCCTTGGAACTTCCACGTCACCTAAAGATAACTATAAATTTAATAAAAAGATGATAAAAGGTAAGGAAATGATACGAGAAAGAAATCCTAACCACAACCACCCTAATAACGAAAACTAAAGCCACGAAATCACACTCTCAATTAACTTATAAATAACTTATAAGGGTACATTTTAGTATTGATAAGAAGTTGAAGGCCACGGCTTAGAAACTTGAAAAAGCATGGGTACACCTTACAAACTCAACTACCTTAGGGGTATAGCTTAGAAAAACCCAAAAAAATGAAAAAAATGAAAAAAGGCTCAAGGATGAGACTCAAATGACGATGCTTATATGTTTTGCTTGCTTGACTCTTGAGTGATGAGTAAGAGTGCTTTTAGAAAGGTGTGTACAAGAGTTGGGGTCATTTAGAGGCTTATTAATCTTAATTGCATTAGCGTATATGAAATGAAAACCGAAGAATGCTCAATTGCACGTCTAGCATAGGATAATGTCAAATTTTCCGAAAGTAGGATATGTTTGAATCGAATTGCGGTCCCTTGTGCCCTTGATGTTCCTCCCCTCCTCCGCAAAATAAAACTCTATTAGGGAATTGGTTCTACTTGTATCATATGTAATAAGTGACATAATAAGCCACATGTTTTGAATAAAGAAAGAGCCGCTCAGAATTAAAAGAGGCGAGGGCAATGTATATTGAAAAAATAGAAAAAAAAAAGACGAAAAAAATAAAAAAGAAAGGGAGATAAAAAAAACTCTTAAAAAATTCTCTAAAATTTTCCTTTTTCTAATCTAGAGGTTAACTTGTGGATGCTTCCCACTCATTATCTATTTTGATGTTCTTGTGTTAGAGTGTAGTTGAAGGGGGCTTGGGAATGCATTTTTGGAGGTGGACTTGCATTTTGAGATTTTATAATCGAAAGAGGTCTTATTGCAACTTTGTAATATCTAGACGTGCTCTAATGAACTATTAAAAGGTATAAGGAAGTATCCTTGTGCAACCTTGATAAGTTCTCTTCTCTACCCCCAACTCATGTGCACATTTGTATGATCGGTAATTCTTGAAAGTTGCTCATTTGTCTTGCTTGTGATCTATATCCCGATGAGTTGACTTGGGCGATAAAAACATTGTTTTGGCGTGTAATGATTACTTTGATAGTAATGATGTGTCTTGATAATTTTGGCGTGGTTCGTGTGAGTTGTGGGTTAAGCTCAAGGGAAACCCTCTTGAGATAAAAACTCGCCCTCGTAGGCGACTTAGGGGTTTAAATTGCTTTTCACTTGTGCTAAAAAAGTTTATAGTTGTTGCCATGCGGATTTTGTGTTTTTTTGTTTCTTCTCTTTAGTATATCTCCTTGGTTTGATCATTAGCAAGTTATCTTCCTTCTTGATTTGGCATGTTTGTTTTGCTCGAGGACTAGCAAAAGCTTAGCTTGGTGGGATTTGATAACTTTTTATTTGCTATGATTTTAGAGTGATCTTGAACCTTGTTTTACTTGATATATTGAAATGCAAAGTCTTGAAATCACCTACGACCCAAGAAAGGCAGTGAAGGGTTAGGCGTTTGCCGACTTCATTATCGAAACGGTTGTGGTGCGGGCATAATCTATGAATCCCCAAAAGGGGAAAAATATGAGTATGAACTAAGGTTCAATTTCCAGGCCTCAAACAACGAGGCGGAATATGAAGCCCTTCTAGCTGGTATCTGCATGTGTAAGGCTGAAGCGCGAACACTCAGTTGGT